TCCCTTCTCTCCTCCCTCCACAATTGCACTTCAATGGAAGTCGCCAACCACACTGGATAGGAGTAACCATTGATTACTACCTCCACTCTTGTTTGGATCTCCTCAGATTTTACCCCACTAAATGGAGATCAAACCCAAACCAACCATCTAAAGGGGCATTGCAGATGGAGGCTATTGACTGAAACAAATCTTCCTTCCAAAGACCAAAGATGAAAGGGCAGACCCAACATTCTAACAACAATATCCCCAACTCCAAGATTTATTGTATTTGATAAAGGACACCACTTCAAGACTGTAGAAACATCTCCATTCAACTGAAAGTTCAAAACATTCACTGTGTCTTTGTCTACATTCAACTGAAAGGCATCATCAGTTTAAGTTCCCAGAGGATTATTTCAGCAAGTCTTCTCCAGCTAGTGGAGAAGAGGTCTTGACCCACATACTTTCTTCCCCACTTTTCCCTGCCGCTAGAGGTTATCAACTTGCTCTTTCCACTTGCCTTTCCAACTATCAGAAACTCCTGTTCAATAGGCTCCTAACTGCAAACTGTTAGTTTTGTTGAATTCTTAGTCTATGCAACTTTTGCCCGAACCAAGAATTCACCAAGTAATCTTGCAACCTTTGCCATCCTTTATCCTTCCTACCATGTCGGAAGCACAATAGCTGCATCTTTTTCTGCCCAAAATGTTCATAGAGTGCAATGAAGGACACTTTGGTATTCTTTTTGCATTCTATCACATACCTTTTCCCTCCTATACCAAGCTCTTTCTAGTTGGGTTGATTACCTTTTGAGCTCACTTCAAACACAAAGTCCCTAATCAATTCAATAGCTTCAAATCCTTCAATCAGTACCACAGCCTTCTTTGCTTCTCTAACTTCAAGCTCATCAGCCTTTTGATTCTAATTTCTTCAAACAAGAATTCTTTTGCTTCAAACTCTACCACTCACTTCCACTTTGCTTCTTCCACAAAACTCTCATCTTCTATTTCTTGAAGATCCCCACATCAAAATATTTCGATCAAACAATGCTGAGGAATATTTTAAGGACCTTCATATTTTGAGAGATTTGGGGTTGTGCATCAGAGTTATTCTGCTTGTACTCCAGAGCAAAATGGAAAGGCAGAGAGAAAGAATCGACATGTTGTTGAAGTACCCGGGATCATTCTTTTTGCCTCCCATGTTCTAGTGACATTTTGGGGTGGCGTAGTCATGACAACTACCTATCTTATTAACCGCATGCCTTTTCAAGTCTTGGGGTTCAAATCCCCCTTTGTTGTTCTGTTCCCTAAGGGTAAAGTATTTTCTATTCCTTTGTGTCTTTGGTTTAACATGATATGACCATGTTCCCATATCTCATAGACATAAATTTGAAGCCAAGGTTCATAAGTGTATTTTTCTAGGGTATGCCTCCACATGGAAGGATTAATGCAACTTTAATCCCACCAGTGGCACCTGCTTTTTTTCCATGGATGTCACCTTTGTAAGTCACTTCCTTTTTATGGTCATTCTCCTAAGGGGGAGCGTTTTATTGAGTTTACTTCACAACTTCCTCTTCCATCTCCTGTTAACCTTGGGATTGAATCCCCTATAGTTCCTTTTATCCCATTGGCAAAATCCTCCTCATYTCCCAGTTCTCCCATTCCTGCTCCTCCACCTATTAGTCCTCTAGTTTTCACTACTCATCCTATTGTTTAGAGGTGGTACCAAAGACAAAGGTTACAGCATGAACACATTGTTGCCCCATCTAAAATTGAGCCTCAAACACTCCTAACTCTTGAAGAGAGGACAAGTCCTTTACCACCTGCTCCAACTTCCTTCCCAGACTTGGACCTATCTAAAGCTATGACAAAGGGTAAGAGAAAATGTATAACAAATTGTGTCTCCAAACTCCTTTCTTATAGGATGTTGTCACCATCTTATTATTCTTTCCTAGCCTCTATTTCCTCTCAACCTATAATCAAGTTAGTTACAAAGGCCTTTTTTAAGCCAAAATGAAGGGAGGCTATGTGAATAGAAATAGAAGCACTTAGCAAAAATAATACCTAGGATATTATAGATTTGCCTAGGAAGGAACCAGTGGGATATAAGTGTGTGTTCACCATCAAGTATCATGTTAGCGGTAACATTGAGATGTATAAGGATTGGCTAGTAGGCAAGGGTTATACCAAGGTATATGGAGTTGATTATATGGAGACCTTCTCACTAGTTGCCAAATATGTGAGTTCTGACCAGCCATTATATCAGTTTGACGGTAAGAAGGCCTTCTTAAATAGGAACTTGACTGAAGAGGTTTATACGTCACTTCCTCTAGGCATGTATGGTAAGGAAATGCAGGGCAAGGTGTGCAAATTGAAAAAATCCCTTTATGACCTCAAGCAATCCCCATGAGCTTGGTTGGACATATTCAAAGCTGCACATATTGAGTTTGGCTATATACAAACACAACCTGACCATACCTTGTTTGTTAAGAGAAGTACTTCCTTATCATTTATGATGATGATATTGTGGTTACAGGCAAAATGATACAAAGGATGTTTAGGCATTCAAGAACTTTCTTAAATCAGAATTTAAAATTATAGATTTAGGGAAGTTAAGATATTTCTTGTGAATTGAAGTTGCCAAGTCTAAAGATGGCATCTTTATCTCCCAATGGAAGTATGTGTTAGATCTTCTTATAGAGACTAAGAAACTTGGTGCCAAACCTATCTCTACACCTATTGATGCCAACCATAAGCTCTCAGCTAATGAAGGTAAGCACTTGGTAGAAAAGGGAGTGTTTGAGAGACTTTTGGAGAAGTTACTATATCTTTGTAGAACATGACTAGACATCTCATATGTTGTCAGTGTGATTAGTCATGCATGCCCCAAAAGACACACATATGGCTATTGCAAAACAGGTTGTGTTACTTGAATGGAACTCCAAGAAAGGGTATTCTCTTCTCTAGGCAAGGACACAAGAAGCTAAAGGCTTATACAAATGCCAATTGGGCTGGTAGTATTGATGATAGAAGATTTACATCTGATTATTGTGCTCTGATARCGAGGGACATTGTCTCTTAGAGAAGGAAGAAGCATTTAGTAGCAGTCAGATCTTCAATTAAGGCAAAGTATAGGACCATTGCACATGGAATTTCACAGTTGTTATGGCTTAGGTCACTTCTAGAGGAGATGGGTACTGCATATGATGAGCCTTTAATGTAGTACTGTGATATCCTGGTTGCAATTAATATAACTCACAATCCATATCAGCATAATAGGACAAAACACAGTGAAGTAGACCAGCATTTTATAAGAGAAAGAGTGGCTATTGTAGAATTTGTCTTCCTTCTATTGCCTCAGAGCAACAATTAGCAAATGTTTTAACCAAGTCTGTCCCTAAGGCAAAGTTACAATACCATGTAAGCAAGTTGGGCATGATTAATATCCATGCTTACCTTGAGGGGAATGTAGAGATGATGGGCCAAACAGGCAATAATTCATTATTTTTTATTTGTTTCTGTCTATGTTTATTTCTATGACTAGTGGGCCTTAGTTATTGACATGTTCTATTTCCTTTTATTATTGCTTCTAGTGCTGGCTGCCCTCCTAAGGGTATTCATGTAATTGTGTTCCTTTTACAATCAAAGAATAAAGTACAATTGTGGGGGACTGGAGAGAGGTTCTATTAAATCTCTTCCTTCTCTTCCCTTCCATCTTCTTTCTCCATTGTTTCTCTCTTTCATCTTCTTCAATCTTCTTCTTTTCTATTTTATTTCAAATTATTTGTTGTAAGGCTTACTTAATTGTTACTTTATAGCTGCTGTTAGTAGGTTGTCGGTCAGTTACTTGTTTTTTCTTTTCCTTATTATTTTGATTCTGGGATGTGCCGCCAGGGGCATACTTGTAATTTCTGATTCTTTTATGAAGTTAATATAAATAGAAAACTGGCAGCAGCCAGAAGATGACTGTTTCCTCTCAACCATACCTCTCTCTCTCTCTCTCTCTCTCTCTCTCCCCCGATCTCCATGAATCATCACATTATTCAAGTGGGATTTACATCTGTATGTACTCCTTATGTTAGCTTCAATGAGCAATTAGCTAATGTATTCACAAAGGGTGTAAATTTTTCCATAATGTTTTGTGTAGCAAATTTTGAATGATTAAAAACTATGAATCAACTTGAGGGGGAATGTGACAATTTGTACAATTAGAGGTGCAAGGATATTATAATCTATTTATCCTTTAATTAGTCACCCTAATAAAATAATAGAGTGGGTCCACTATCCCTTATGTGGTTCCATTCTATTTCATTTTGTCTCTTCTCTTCTCTATCCTTTTTGCTCTTTCATCCATTCCACCATCATTGCAGGTCTGGTTGATGTAAATATTTTTAAGAATCTAATGAATAGTTGGTCTGTAGTAGTTTTCTTGCCAATAAATAAATAAAAAGTTGACAATAAAAATAAGAAAGCAATGAAGGACAGATCTTGACTGTCCACTGGGAATGCCAAATCCAAAACAAATTTCCATATCAGAAAAAGAATTGTTTCTTTTTATGTGGCAGGTCCGCTTGTTTAAAGAAACAAAATCATGCATATGGGCAAAGGCCCCTAACTTTGCTTTTTTTTTCATTTGATATTGAGTATGTAGTTCCGTACCACCAAATTCTTCACAAAAAGGAACAACTACAACAAAACTATAGCAGGAGGAGCAATACCAAGTAAAAACGAAGAATGAAACAGAGACAATATGTTTTTGTATTGGTACCATAACAACACACCAGTGTAAGTTTGTAAGCCTTGTACATCCAAACTAAAATGTTGTATCCTAGGTCCATTATACATGGGATGTTAATACTCTCAAGGTGCAACATTACAAAATGGGTGCAATAATAACAATAACAACAACAATAATAATAGTAAGAGTACTATTACTACTACTACTATTGTTCAATTTCCCTAACAATGATGAAAATGATAATTATAATAATAATGATGAGAGAGAGAGACAGACAGACAGACCTGAAGGATATTATTCAAGAGAAAATTCCAACTTGTATTTTCCAAACTACTGCAACCATTCATGCTAATATCGCTTATGAATACCAAGCTCTCTGGGAACTGAACATCAACCAACTTCCTGCAGTCTTTGAGCTGTAGGGAACTTAAGCGCTGCAAGTTTGATAAATCTAATCTTTCAATCAATGTGCAATTATTCATGTTCAATATCTTTAAACATGATGGAAGCACTGGTAGTGATTGAAGCCTTGAACATTCTTCTAATTTTAGCCAATCAAGTCTAAGAAGTTGATTGATAGCAACAGGTAGGCTGACAAAATTGGTATTTTGAAGATTTAAATACCTTAATTTTGTTAAACTTCCAAGGTTTGATATACTTTCCAATGACGTGCAACCACTTGCCTCTAAGAACTGTAAACTTGATGGAAGCCCGGGGATTGATTGAAGCCTTGTGCAGTTGTTTAATTCAAGCCAATGGAGTTGAGAAAGGCGATTCATGCTGGATGGTAGGTTGCTGAAATTGTTGAAGCTTAGATACAACTTCTTCAGCGAGGATAAGCACCTAAGATCACTTGGTAGTGCACCTTCTGACAAATTGCAGTGCCTGAGATCTAATCTCTCTAACGAGTATGAATATGAGGATGAAATTGACAAAAATGATGAAAGCAATGACTGAGATGGAAATTTTCCAATATGTTTGCAACCGTGGAGATTAAAATATTTAAGAGATGTCAGGTTGCAAATGCTGCTGGGAAGAGTCATAAGGTTTTTGCAATCTTTTAGATTCAGGATAACAAGTTTGTTAAGATTTCCAATAGATTCATGAATCTCAACCAAGCTTGAACAACCTTCAAGGATCAATATCTCTAAACTAGGGCATCCTAAGAAGTTTGGTGTTTGCATTAGGAATTGGGAATAGCTAAGGTTAAGGTATTTCAACTTTTCAAGAACCTGCAAAAAATAAAATAAATAGAATTCTAACATGAGTAGAAATTATTTTCAAAAAAAGAACCATAGCTGAGAAAATCATAGAGATTCAGTCAAACCTTGATTCCCTCCCATACTCGTTCAACTTTGCTGTGTTGCATTTCAAGTATGACAAGATACTTCAAGTGAAAATCAGCTGGTATAAATTTCAAAGCAAATCCATTCCAGCAAAGCCATGTTAGCTCCTTAGGAAGATGTTCAAAGTCCCCTGTTAGGTGTACATTATTAAGTTGGAGCAGTCTCACTTCCGTCATCTTCACAAATGCTTCAGTACCAAAATCTACATCAGTCAAACTACAATAATTTTCTAGGATGAGACCTCTAATTACTTCGGATCCCTGCATGAAAAAAACATAAGATAAAGCATAGCTAAAAATTTGTACACACCTAAACATTTAATATACATATATACATGCACACACATGTATATACAAGCATAGTAACAAACTATAAACAACTTAAGGTATGTTTGGTTCGCAGGAATAGGGGTCTGGAATCTGAATTGGAATGTCCAATTCCAGTTGTTTGGTTGGGTGGAATCAGAACTCAATTGCCATTCCTGGCAAAATGGCATTCCTGCTCCCTAAGATTAAGAATCCCATTCCAACCAACCAAAAAGGAAAAGAAAAAGAAAAAGAAAAAGAAAAAGGACAAAGACAAGCCCACGAATAATATTAAATAATAAAATAATATTAAAATAACATTTTAAGAACAAAGTAATAAAATAAAATCAACAATAAAACATTAATAGAAAAATATTATTACTAATATAATAATAATAAAAAATTAGCAAAATAATATTAATAAGATAATAAAAATAAAATAATAAAACAATAAAGAGTAAAAAATAAAATTCCCAATTATGAACCAAACAACATCAATTGGAATCCAATTCCAATTCTCATCTAAACCAAACAGGTGGGGGGAATAGGCCATAATAATTCCAATTCCAGCTGCGAACTAAACAGACCCTTAAATAGGGGTCTAGATTTTTACGCACCAGTCAAACCATAAGTCCAAAGAATCCAATCAAATCCAACCTAAAATTGTGTTTGGTTGGTTGGGTTCAGCTCACCAATGAAAGTTGTAAACCCAAGGTTCAAAATATTGCAATGTATCATACCATAACAAATGATATGCGTCAGTTTTTGAACCCACCAAAATGCCATACAAAGGGATTTAGGGGTTCTTCATGTTTAAAAAACCCCTCCCTAACATGTTTATCATTAAAATATCAAATTGAAAAATAAAAAAGTAAAGGAGTATTGGCCCTTTGAATTGTGATATGCAATTTTTGGGTATCGTTAATGTTGATACTTTGAACCATGTGTACACCTATTGGGTTTGGGCATAGAATTTTCATTGATTAGGACCATTCATTGGTTGAGAACTATGGACTTCTTTCATACCTGGTCCTTTGATGATATTTGGAGAAATTGGATAGCGGTGGCTAATAGCCATACAAGGAAGGACAGGAATCTGCAGTGCAGATCTTCTCGCCCGAAGGATGGATAAAGTTGAACTTTGATGGCAGCAGCCAAGGAAACCTAGGCCCTTAAGGGATTGGAGGGGTGCTAAGGGATACGGAGAGCAATATCTTAGCCTTGTTTTCAGGCCCCGTGGGAATAGGAGACTCTAATAGAACTGAAATTTTAGCGGTGGTACAAGGTATACAGATTGCAGAACAATTAGGAGTTCAGCACTTAGTAGTGGAAGGAGACCCTCAAATTGTTGTGGGATGGCTGACAGACCCAGTTTCAGCTATGTGGCAACACAGAGATTTATTGAGGAAAGTCAACTGGCTTACAAGAGACATGACTGTTACCTCTCATTGGGTGGGAAGATCAGAAAACACCTTAGCAGACAGGTTAGCTAAGCAGGGGGGCCACAAGGGAAAATTTATTTTGGCTGCTCTATAATTTTACTTCAGGCTATTTGTTTTAATTTGGTGTAATAGTTTTTGAAGAGGTAACAGCTCGTGTCTCTTCTTGGGTTGCCTTTTTCTGAATTAATAAATTATCTTTATTCATCAAAAAAAAAACCCTCCTATCCAAACCACACATCTGAACATAGACCATGAAACTACTGTAGCAGCCCTCTTCCGTCCATTGATTAGAGGATTTCCTACCAGCCACCTAAAACCACCACACCACAATCAATCGGAGGCATTAAAACCTCCAGAAAGAAAAAAACAACCACTCCTTTTCAGCCTTTTCGCCAAACTCCAAGAAACCTAAGAGAAATCTGCAAAATACTAAACTAGGGTGCACAGAAGACTATATAAATCCGAACTAATTTAACCTAGCTCTGATACCATGATAAAGTTCATATCTGTATATCTGTTAGTTTCATAATAAGAGAGATAGAAAGAGAAGGAGAGAAGAGAGAGGAAGAGAGGAGAAGAGTGAAGAGAAGGAGAGAAGAAAGAAAGACTGGTTCGAACTAGAGAGAGAAATCTCACCTCTCTAGTCGGCCAGGTTATATTTATAGTTTTCTATATTAAACACAAATTGATTCTTGTGCCCCTACTTAAGTATGGGACACAACACTTAACTCAACATTACACCTCACCTCATACAAAACATAAACAAAAAGACTAATCTACCCCTATATAGTCGACACTAACATGTTATAATCCTACTCTTTGTCATTCCTTTATACTTCCAAATGTGTCATTCTTTGAAAATGTCCCTTATTCATCTATAGTTGGGCCTTCCTCTGCATGTGATTTGTGCCCTTTCCCTTCCTCTTCTTGTGGCAAAGTTCCTTACTAGCTCCATTGGTTGAGGTGTCTACACAACCATCGATTCATAGGATACACTCATGGTCCTCATGGAATTTTTTGCCCACTCCGACTTCTTCACCATTAGTAGATGCCTCAAATTTAGACTTGTGCATTGCTTTTCAAAAAGGTAAATGTGCTTGTATTGAACATCCCATTTCACTTTATGTTTCCTTTGCTCATTTATATCCTTCCTATAAGAATTTTTTTGTGTCTTCTTTCTTCTATGGTTGTCCCTAGGTGGGTGCATGAAACCTTTCTCTCATCAAACTTGAAAAAGGCAAATTTCATGCTCTTTAGTTTAATCAAGCATGGGACCTCACTTCTCTTCCTTTTGGAAAGAAAACAACTGGTTGTCAATGGGTGTATATGTTAGACAGTGTATGCCCTTAGCTCCAATAAGAATGATGTACATTATGACATTTAATGTAAATGAATAAAGTACATATTTGATTCATGTTATTATGGTGTGTTTCTGT